TCGGGCCTCCAGAGTTGGATGCAGCGATGCTAAGGTACCAGGTGGCGCTCAGAATCCAACCGAGGTCTGTGCAGGCTCAATGTGCACTTGAACCACTGTAATATCTCCCAGCCCCAGAAGTGGAATCTTCCTTGTGATGAGTTGGTACTGGAGTGGTGAGAAGTATACACACTCCTAGGCATGAAGCTGCCTTCGAAGTTCCGTAATATTGTTACTCTTAGCTTTGAACCCGGGAATTACTCCTGGCAGTGCTCAGGGGACCATATGGGATGCTGGGAATCGAACCCGGGTCGGCCGTGTGCAAGGCAAATGCCCTACCCGCTGTGCTATCACTCCAGCCCCAGGTTCCATAATATTGTAAACCCAGGCGGGAGAGATAGTACAGCACCAGGTAAGGAGATTGCCTTGCACAAGATGGACCTGGGTTGGATTCCCTGCAAACCATACTGTTCCCTGAGCCCTGCCAGGAGTGATCCCTGAGCGTAGAGCCAGGAATAAGTAGCACAATACAGCCAGCTAGTATGGCCCAGAAAAAAACTCACAGTCATGGTCTTCCCTCCAGTTGTTGATTGATTTGCTCAGCGGGCCCAGTAATGTCTCCATTTTAAGACTTGTTGTTACTGTAACAACGTCTCCATTTTGAGACTTGCTGTTACTGTGTTTGGCATATTGAATACGTCAAGGGTAGCTTGCCAGGCTTTGCCGTCAGGGCGAGATACTCTCGGTAGCTTGCCAGCTCTCTGAGAGGGGCGGAGGAATCGAACTGGGGTCAGACATGTTGGCTGCAAGCAAGGCAAACGCCCTACCGCTGTGCTATCGCTCCAGTCCAGAAAAAAAAAACTAGGGAAAAAAATTATAAACCAAGAAATCACTAAATAGAAAGGAATGCTGTGTGATGGACACAGAGGGGAACTTGAGAAAGCAAATGAGCCAACAATGAGATATAGTTTTTAACCGTTTAAAAATAAGTTGCAATGGTAAAACCCATGTCACAAATGTGTTTACAAATAGAGTAACCGGTTGTGGAAAAAGGAATCTATACCGCATATAGCTACGGATGAGAGCCAGTGTTTCTAACTCCAGGCACCGCTCACCTTGATCCACGGCACCTGTTGGTTCTCAACCCACCCGCGGTTGGGTCACACAGTGGTCAAAGCACCTGTTTTTCCTGCAGCCAACCCGAGTTCTAGCCCCCTCATCCCCCCGCAACACATGCAGCCCCCGAGCAACGCCAGGCGTCAATCCCTAAGCAAAGAGCCAAGAGCAATCCCTGAGCGCCACCAGGTGTGTCCCCAAAACCAAAGTCAAAACGGAAACAAAACAGAAAGTCCAAGGTAGGTTCAGGTGTTAGAAATGTTAAGACTCCCGGATGATTCTCCCACTTGGGAAACTGCTGCTTTAGAGGAGCTTGTCTCTAGCGCTAGGGAAACGGGTATCATGAAGGGTTGCTGGCAATGCAGGCTCGTCTGCCCGGGGCAGGCGCCCTCAGTTCAGGCTGGAGGTTTTGGTCACACCGAAGGGTTTTTCTGTCGCTGCTTCAGTGTAGGAGTTACCTGTAGGTTAGTGACTCCACCGTTTAAAGTAAAAATTGGTTTTGGGTTGGAGAGATAGTAGAATTGGGTAGGGCTCTTGCCTTACATGCGGGCCACTCAGATTCAATCATAGCATCTCATATGGTCCCCCAAACCCGCCAGGAGTGATCCCGGAGCCCAGAGCCAGGGATCTGTGAGTAAGACCTGAGTCCCGGGTGTGGCCCCAAAACAAAAACAAAAGATGAGGAGGAGGAGGAGGTGGAGGAGGAAGAGGAAGAAGAAGGAGGAGGAGGAAAAGCACAAACCCTGGAATACAAGGTGTTTGAGTGTTAAAACAAACATTGGTTTTGTAAGTATCATTGTTTTAATAAGTACCGTGTCTTAGATAGCTTTGACTTATCTTTATGTAATAAATGTCTTGTTGCTTGTGCAAAAAAAAGAAGCTGTAAAATAATATAATATAAAATATATTCACTAATATATCACTAACATACTTTGAAACCAGTCACTTGTGACCATTTCCCTCTTACTCCAATTACCTCTAAGTACATCTTTAGTGTTTTTAAAGAAAAGTAGACTTGGTTGTTTTTGCAATCCAATTCACCGCTACCAAGAATTCATCATGAGACCATTATGTGAATTTGTTTGTTTGTTTGTGGCACTGTTACTTAAAAGGGGTGGGGGAACACAATGATTATGCAGTGAAATGTGGTAAAAACTGGGGAAAAATAACTAGTTTTTCACTGAATTATATAATGCGGTTAGAATTGAAACTCTCAGAAATGATCTGAGACGACTTGAAATGAGCTTTGTCAGCTAGTATAAGGGGTGGTGATGGGTCAGGGATGCAACATATGAGCTGAAATAAGTCTGGCACCAAATGTCTCCTTTCACCTTCACACACCCAGCACCATCTGAAGAACCCCTTAGCGACCATTTTGGCAGAGAAAGCAAGCCTAAATAAAGTGATCAAAAGTGACTTTTAGGGGCATGCTTATATCATCGTTGACCCCTGTGTTTAAAGAGGAGACCAACAGAGAAGGAAAGAAATCAAGGGAGGAAGAAATGAACAAGAATAGGTGAACAGTTTTTGGGGTTTCAGTTATACTGGTGAGATGAGTGAGGGTAGAGCCATATACCCAAAACACAGACTCAACAGAACTAAAACCATGAGACCTAAGTGGGAAACACTAAAACTTTGAAATATGCCTGTTCAGTTGACAGGCAGGGTTGGGATGGGGATGGGAATCTAGGGACACTGGTGGAGGGAAGTTGACACAGGCAGAGGGATCGTTGTTGAATTATTGTATGCCTAAAATGCAGCATCAGTAACTTTGTGAATCGTGGCTCTTTAATCAAAAAAAAAAAATTGTGACTCTTAGTGGTATTCTCAATAGTCTATGAAGCAAAGGCCCAATTGAAAACTTCAGCCCCTACATGAGGGCAAAGGCCAAGGTCATCCAGCATCACAATTTCTCTTCCACATCCATAAATACCCTGGTCCTACTCATCCAATCAATTCCGAATTCGTCTCAAAAGTACGAATAGTGCACACAATTTTATAACTGCTACCCACTTTCTATAAAATCCAACTAAGATGCACAGGAATTTGGAGCAGATACAATTTTACACGTGTTGGATTCATAGAGATGTATCTTGGATACATTTAATTTAAAACTTAATGTTCTAATTCAATTTTATTACTTGGGGACTAAATTTGGGGATATGGATATGCTAAGAAATGCAGTGTTATTTGGCCCAAGAAGGATGGACAAGGCCTCTCCCGTGTCTTGTAAAAACCTGAGCCCTGTGTAAAGTAGATGAACCCATGTGCGGGACCATACTAAGTGGGAAACCAGCCTTGGCCATGAAATGCAAACATTCTTAAATTGCAAATATCGATGTCAAAATAAGCAAATTATGATGTTTGTTTTTTGTTGTTTTTTTTTAATGGAACAAAAGAATCTAGGTTTAGCAATAGCAGAAAAGTTTACTCTTGCCAATGAGAAGTATAATTGTCCCGTTTATTTAAAAGTAATCTTCCTCATGAAGTCAGTTTTTAACAAATATCCACAATGTAAGCTCTTCAGCAATTTTCTCAACTCACATTTTCATGAAGTTGTATTTTCATGAACAGATGAAAATTCACTTGTCCAAGCCTTCTAAAATTCTAGATCCCATAGGGCTGAATTATATTTTATTTCCAAAAGAATATCCAGGTAGTCGGTCTTTCATATATTGCAAATGAAATCGTCTTTGAGTTGTCCATAGATATACATCCCACTTAATTTTAATTATATATTAAATATACCAATTAAATGCATCTGTTTATCTACCTTTCAGACGATTTATTACAATACATATATTTAATATTCACTTCTATTCCTTAAATGTCTTTGCATTAGCAGAGTTTTCATACTTGAAAACCCTAAAAGACATTAAGGAAAGCATCTTTTGAAACTTCCTGCTGTAAGCTCATTTTCCTGAACTGTTATTATACATAATAAGAGACTTGATTTCATAGCTTCTATAATAATACACTATATATTTTACATTGGCTATGTTTTTTTCATTTAAACTCTTGTGATGGCAAAGTGATTTTCCTCAAAGCTGATTGGCTGTGCACATCTCCAGAAGTGCTTAAATGTGACCTTGCTATCTCAAGCTTTCTGGCAAGAAGAACACTTTATTTTAAGTCTTTTTTGGTACAGAACGTGATATCTGTGAAGAAATTTGCTTTATTATTAAGAAATAAATATGTCTTGTTCCTTGAGATCTCTTTGACTTCAACAATTTGTAGTCATTTTCATTATGAACCATTAAAAAGGTATATTTAAAAGACTAACAAATTTCAAGTAAGTTTTTTTTAATATATTGGAGCTTCTGGCATTGGGTGAGTATTAGAGATTGTCAACATAAATAATATAGTGCCAAATACTGAAATGAATTCATAGATATTAAATTCACAAATGTTGGTTGATCTCCTCAGTGAATTCTTTCATGTTGTATATTCATTGTTTGTACACTAATACTCTCACAAAAATTTAAACTCCTTGATTTATTTGGTGTACTTGTTTTTTTTTGTTTTCTTCCAAGTTAGTTCAACCTTTTATAATATTATGCCTGTTTACAATTCCTAAAAAAACTATTTTTCTATCAATATTGCATTTAGAACTATTTCAAAACAGTGCCTGAGTCACTTTCTCATGATTTGGCTTTCTTTCATAGTAAAAAAATATAATTGGTTATGAAAATTCTTAGTTATGAAAATTCTCTAATTAGTTGGTTATGAAAATTCTCTAATCAGAGAGTGATTAAATAAAAACTAATAACATTATATGTACTGCCTTAGAATTGATAGTTTATTAATTGTTTATTCATTTTATTTTGTTTTTGTCTTATATTTGAGTTTCTTCTAATGCTCAACGTGTATTTCTCTTAAAGGCTTATGAAAATTTTGGCGAAAAAATGTTGCTGCTTCCGTACAGGTATGGAGCCTCTTGTCCGAAGCTAGATCACTTTGTGAGTATTTCAATCCATTTTCCAAGATACATAGGTGCTTATTAAACTAAGTATTGTCAGGAGTACACTTGAGAGGACAAAAATTACTTAAATATGTCATAAAAAGAATCAAATTCACAGATAAGAGGGAAAACATAGGAATTTACACAGCTATACTAGCTATACTAGCTATACTAGCATAATGAACGCTATTTCAAATTTCAAAAAAAAAAATCATAGACCTGCATCCAGTCACAATTATTTTGTTTTTCAGAGGGGGAACACATCAGGTGGTGCTCAGGGCTTATTTCTGGCTCATGGCTCTGGGATCACTCCTGGCTGGTTCCAGGATGATATGTGATTCTGGGGATCAGATATGGGCCCATGGTGTGCGAGACAAGTGCTCTACCTGCTATGCTAGTGCTCTGGCCCCCATCGTAAAATTTTAAAGGTGGAAGAAATCTTAAAAGTCACCTGAAAGAAAATATTAATTTTACAAAAGAGAAATTGAATGCCATGTTATATTTGCAAAATAGAAGCCTACCGCCTTTAACATTATTATCAAGGATCTGTCTAGTGATATCGTTTTGCTGGTAAAGTGTGTCCTATAGGTTCAATCTGCAACACCAAAACAACAACAATCAAAAAATATTCTCAGTAGTGACTCTTTAAAGATTAAATAAGAAATTAGTCTTGGGGCTGGAGCAATAGCACAGCGGGTAGGGTGTTTGCCTTGCACGCAGCCGACCTAGGTTCAATTCCCAGCATCCTATATGGTTCCCCTAAGCACCGCCAGGAGTAATTCCTGAGTGCATGAACCAGGAGTAACTCCTGTGCATCGCCGGGTGTGGCCCAAAAAGAAAAAAAAAAAGAAAAGGAATTAGTCTTAATGAAAAATTAGCAATATTTTTTATTTAATTAAATAACAAAAAATGTCCAAAGGTTTCCCCAAATTTTGGTCATAATCTCAAAAGGTTGATTTAGAAAAGAAATCATTCACCAATATTGCCCTATGGAATTTTCTTACATTGTTATAGGCTAAACACTACTTTCAGCTATTATATTGACTTCTCTATAATGTTGTGAATCTGAAAATCCTTAATTAGCAGAAGTTGATTTACATATTACTTCTTACTTTGTTTAATTACATTTCCCAATTTTTCTGATATATCAGCAGTAATTTTTAAAGGAACTATTATACCTACAATTCAGAAAAATGTTGAAATAGTCTTTTATTATATTGTTCCTTGGGGAAGCAGATAGGTGAGAATTGGTTTACTTAACTACTAAGTGCATTTAATGTTCCCCCAAAAGTAAGAACGAACAAAAGAAATTTGCAATTACTGATGTCTATATTCTGTTACTATGCTAAAAATTGTGTTGTATCTATTGTACCATGAAAATACACCATTTTGAATAAAATCTTCATTTTCCTCTATTGTATATGCAAATTCTACCACTGAGCCACCAATGCAGAGCCTGGCAAGCTCCCTGTGGCATATTCAATATGCCAAAAACAGTAACAAAGAGTCTCACAATGGAGACGTTACTGGTGCCCGCTTGACCAAATCGATGAACAATGGGAGGACATTGCTGCAGTGCAGCAGATATATGCAAATAGATCCATTTTCTTAACGAATTACCCAAGTAAATACTTTAGAATGAACCTTGTTCAAAGATGTAAATAGAAGTATTACTTTTGTGAGGCTTTAGTAATTAACTAAAGTGAAATATATTAAATCTGTGAAAACAATCTCCATATTTCATATGTCTACAGTTGCAATCCTTTCTTCTTTGAGTTTAATCAAAGCATCCAACAAAGATAATTTATAGACTGGCCTGTTTTGTCTATTTCTCCCATTTATGAGAAGAATATTTTTTAAGATAAAGCAATAGTAATAGAAAAAAATAGAAGAAAGGAGAAAGTGATAGGATTCTCTGATATTCTATTATGTTTAAATAAACTATATAAAATATAATAGTTTAGCCTCTATATAATAGAATATTGTCTATATCATTTTACTAAAGTACTAATTTTGGAGTGTATCCTTGTGGAAATTGAGATCTTTCTGAACAGTGAATATAGTCAACTATTCATACCTTTCCTAAGCTAGACTAGCACTAAAAGTTCAAAACCATCAATAGCCATCTTTTTAATAACTTCCTAATTTCCACATCACAGTGCTGCTGTTCTGCGTTCCCAGGCATCTCTTTCCTACTTTGTCTATGGTCCCTTCACTCCCCCTCCTCTCCCTCCCTCCCTCCTCTGGCCTGCTCACCCACACCCCCTCAGCCCCGGCCCCTCTGTGTTTCTCTCGTCTTTCCTTTTTTAAGTCAGATCGTTTGGCAGTTTAGAACAGTACCACTCAACCACTAAGACCTTCATTATGTAAAAGAAAAATGGCATCAAGGCCCCATTATTTTCTATGACTGAACTTCTCTTCTAAGGAGCTACACCTGGCTTTGGGCTCACTCTGGGTTCACGCCTGGCTCTTCTCAGGGATCACTCCAGACCATGGGGTGCTGTGGTACCAGGAATCAGATTGAACTCCTGTGTACAAGGCAAACCCCCTACCCACTGTGCTATCACTCTGGCCCCCTGAACCTCTTCTTAATAAGCAAATGGATTTATTGCCTGGGTGAAATCAGCTTGCCCTCTGCAAACATAAATAAGATATGGTTTTGTATTCCAGGTACCAAGTGGTAATATGAAGATTCTCCTGGTCTTTCTAGGCCTGCTCGGTTATTCTATTGCTATGCCAGTGAGTATTTTATTTATTTGTTTATTTATTTTCATTTTCTACAGACTTCTCTTGGTTTTATTATAGTGTATCTTGGAAGAAATTGGGCTTATCTCAATTGATGTTCGGAATTAATCACCCATATTTTCTCACTTTCAGATGCAAATGCCCCGAATGCGGGGATTTAGCAGTAAAAGTGAGGAGGTATGTATGATTATTCTTTCTGGAGATCTTTTCCAGAGTTCTTCAAAAGAGTTCGTTTTAAAACAGAGAATACTGAAAAACTTTCGAAGACTAAAAAACTTTCTAAGACTGGAAAATTATAGAGGGTTGGGAATTGGAAAGACTCAAATTCTCATCTAGTCTAACTAGTAAATTCCCTTGAGTTATTCTACTTAAATATTTAAATATCCCTTTTTAAGGTAAATGTGAATTTGTGTTCAAGCACAGGGAGTGTTAGCTTTTCCTATTTTCACATTTTCAAGCTAGCAAGGGTAGGCCATTTCTATTAATGGTTGTTAGACAGTAGACACTTGAGCTTATAAATAGTTTTTGTAGGACTCATATCCAGGTTCATTAACCAAATTCATACCCCGCAGAAGGGAGAATCGTCTTTTCAAAATGTTAGCACATTCTCAAATCCTAAACTGAAAGAGAAGAATATTCATTCCCTGTGTTTCTATATTGTTTTTTCTCAAAATAAAAGTTTGACTTAAAAATTAAAGTGCCATAGAGGTTGTTTTCGTTCCATGCTTATTTTAAATTCATGCATAATAAGAAAGAGACATTATAACCTATGTAACATAAAATCAAAAATTTAAATGTTGTGAATTGATAAATGAATATTTTTCACTTGGTACCAAATTAATGAATTTCTTTGGTTACAGATGATGAGGTTCAATCAATTCTTTATGAGCTCTCCTCATGTAAGTTCTATTTCTATTTTTTCTAATGACTCTGTATTTTTATGCAGATAAGTACAGTATAAGTATAGGTTTGTCTTAGTTAATAGAGACACACCGATATGGATGTCTTAATTATAATATAATTAGAAAATTTTCAAGTGAGTGAATTATTTTACCTACAAGAGTTTTCCTCTTATTCATAACTTTTGATCTTTCATGAAAACCAAAATTATTATTAGCTACCCAGGTTTTTATATTCAGAAGAAATTGTTTGTGGGGAAGAAAAAAAAGAAATTGCTTGTGGGAATAAATGTCATGCAAAATATACTCACAAAAATTACAACAGAAAAAAATAGTGTGGCAAATAGATGGAAATAGTAAACTTTATTTGAATTATCTTGAAAGATGACACTAAATTATTAAATTAAATTGTATCTCATTTAAATAAAGTTCGCTTATACTTATCACCGTATGCTGTTTCTTAAAACTAACAATGACTCAAGTGTTGCTTGCATCTTTTGGCATAAGTTTTCTGGCAAAGTTGTATGTAGCACTGCACTGTAGCACTGTCCTCCCATTTTTTCATAGATTTGCTCAAGCAGGCACCAGTAACATCTCCATTGTGAGACTTGTTACTGTTTTTGGCATATTGAATATGCCATGGGGAAAGTAGTATGATAATACAATAATATTTTATGTCTCTTAACTTTTGTAATGTGATTACAAGAACCACTGGGAACTGGAGAATGAAGGTCTTCATCAATTTTCTCATTTTAAAACAATGCTCAAAATTCCTGGGGTCCATTCCAGGTATACTGAGCCAATCTAGTCAGAAGTTCAATGCTTATGTGGTGCTCTGACCTCCTGGTGTTCTAGTGGCCATAGATCCACATCCAGATATGCTTGGGGCCCTCATAGGCCTTAGCGGGCAGCACTCAGAAAGCCATGCAGTATTGTGGTACCAAGCCCTAATCATGAAACCATGCAGGATCTTCAGTCATCAAGCTACATCTCTGGTTCTCATCAATTTTTCTCTCAACCCTTTTCTTTCAAGTCCCTCTGCACTTAAAAAGCATGTCATCTAAATCTGCCATCGTTTTTATCTTCTTTTCTTCAACTCTAGATTGGTCTAGCTTTCTCTAGCATTCATTCTCAATGTTTTGTTTGTGATCTACAATTTTCACCAACTTAATTTTAGTAAAATCCTGCATGATGCCTGATTTGCAATTTTACCTACTATCAATAGACATTCTCTAGTATTGTACACCTTATCCAGTAAACAAAAAAAAGGGCTGACCAGTGAATATTGGAGCTAGAAGGCACTATTAAACCAGGGAGGGAACATGTGAATCCCTAATATTGTAAAAAATTCTGATAATGAATTTGAAAGCTGATAAGAATTCTTTTTATAAAAAAGGGATTAATGAGTATTTACACATACCAAATTTTTATTGCCTCTCATTTTTTAAATGACATCATTTCTTTCATTTATTTTTGTGGGGTTTTTTTCTTCTTGTTCAACCTGTTTGTAACCAATCGGATTCATTTTGATTTTGTCATCAACTTCTCTATAACTTTAACTGTCCACCTCTTTCCTGAGTCAGACTTCAAAGTTAAAAAAGCATCTGTAGGGGGCTGGAGCAATAGCACAGCGGGTAGGGTGTTTGCCTTGCATGCAGCCAACATGGCCAACACAGGTTTGATTCCCAGCATCCCATATGGTCACCCGAGCACCGCCAGGAGCAATTCCTGAGTGCATGAGCCAGAAGTAACCCCTGAGCATTGCCGGGTGTGACCCAAAAAGGAAAAAAAAAAGCATCTGTAAATTTTTTTTCAACTGAAATTTCACACAGAATTCTGCTTTGGGATTTATTTAATTCTTTTTCTAAAAGACTGAATTCACTACTTTTAAGATATTTGAAGAAAATGCTGGCTAACGCTCTGGGAGCTTCTACTATTGAGTCAAGTTCTTTAGCTGAGCTTTAGAGATGAAATTTAACCTAATTCAGGTTATTAGTAACAAGGATTTAGGTTGTATTTGTGTTCTTATTTGAGTAAAAACTTCCTATAAAATTTGTTTTCATGCCTCACATGTCTGAGCTCCTAGATCCTAGCTCTAGTACTGCAATAAATAAAAGTTCATTTTCCTTCATGATTACTGATATAATGAGTAATCAAGGATGAAAGGATTCTGCATCTCAGCCCTGTGTGGTTTGACTGACATCTGCTTCCCTTTCAGATGTCACACCTGGGTCCCATGTATGGAAGTGGAATGCCTCCGCTCTTTCCACAGTATCATATGCCAATGTGGCCTCAACCACCACCTCATATGGGGCTTCCACCAAAATCACCAACTCCTCCATCACCCAAGACTGATCAAACTCAAGAGACTCCTAAACCCACCCAGTCTCCACCCACCAAAACATCAAAGCCGCCTGCACAGCAGTCACAAACGACTCCTTCTAAGCCCCAAGAGGAACTGCCACAACATCAGGTGAGATTTTTGAGAAAAAACATCAAACCAGAATATGAAATGGTCTCAGGGGGTTGAAGAGAAAAGGTACCCTCACATACACACTTCCTCCAGTGTTTCTGAAGGGAGGTACTGTTAGGTATGAAATAGAATCATTCATTAGACATTTATTTCAAGGTTATACTTTACCACCAATCCAAAATTCCCTGTGAGTCTTTCATCCTTTCTCGTATTAATGATTTCACAAATACTTAAAGAAGCTCCTTTAAAAATAAAATAAAATTCAGTTGCAGTGTGAGATAGCAATATGAGCCCCAACAGAACTGGTAGGAAGCAGAGATTCAGCCCTACCCCCAGCTCTTGTGTAAGTTGCTAGCTGAGAAAATGATCTGATAACGCTAACTGTGTTCCACCTATGCTGTGATTGTCTAAACCACTTCCATGAAAGTGGTTTATTTATTACTTCTGGATAGCATGGCTTAAAATTCTAATTTCAAGATAAATTTATACATATTTTCTCAAAGTCTCATTTAGAACATTATTTTTTAGATACGGAGAAGACAAAATGAGTTAAAAGATAGTCATGAATTTGAATCTTAGCTTCAATCTTTTGCCAGCTATGCGGCATTTGGAGCAAACGGTTTTCCTTCTCTGTACCTCAGAGTTTACAGAAATGGGCAGAACAATGCATGGATTTTCTAGTAATGTGAGAATTAAATGAGTTTGCCATTGTAAAGTGCTCAACACAGTACCTAGAACATAGGTGTTTAATAAAACTCAGAATGGTTGTTACTAGTATCAAATAACCTAAGAAATTTCAGTGTACTTCAATGTAAATGTAGACTCCCAAGTTTCCCATAATTGTATTTATAGGCATATTTCATTTTTTTTCTTCTCACTTTCACATCACTCTAATTATTTCTTTTTCTCCAGGCGTACCCGCCATTTGGGTATCCCTTCCCACCACCATGGCCAATTCCACATGTAAGTTTTTTCTTTATTCTTGAAGTGAAAAATATTAGCATATTTTATTTCAATTATGAATTCATATAGTCTAAGCAGAATGCCTTATGCTAGTGAGTAGAAAGCATAAAACATCAGAAATCATGAAGGAAAATTAATTTTTATTTGTTGTGGAACTAGAGCTAGAATTCAGGAGTCCAGACATGTGAGGCACGGAAACAATTTTTATAGGAAGTTTTTATTCAAGTAAGGACACAAACACAACCTAAATCCTCTGTTACTAATAACTTAACTAATCAATTAATTTTGTTAAAAACCATACTATTTCATTACTATTTCCCACTTCCCTAAGAGATTAGAAAACATAGAAATTATCTTCACTTAGTATCATGGGAAATTTAAAGTTGACATTATTTTTTTGTTTGTTTTATGTGCCATACCCTGCTGTAGTAGGAAATACTCTTAGCTCTGTGCTCAGGGATCATTCCTGGCAGTGCTCCATGAGTCATATTTGGTGCTGGGGATTGAACCTGGGTCAGCCATGTGCAAGACTTTACCATTGAACTATCTGTTCAATAAAGTTTTGAATTATTAAAAGAATATATAGGGAACTGAAGGTAAAGCTCAGAAGTAGAACACATGCTTTGCATGTGTGAGACTCTGGATTCTATTCTCAACACTGAAAAACAAATTAAAAGAAGAAATAAATTAGAAATTTATTTCAATTGCATAAGAAGCACTAAAAAATGTGACATACAAATTAAGCACTTGGAACTAAAGAATTATTAAAAGCCATTGTTGCTGACAAAAGCAGCAAGAAATACTTTATTTAACGTTCATTGGCATTGGGTTTTGTTATTTATAATTTGATAATGCTTCCTTGGGAGTGGGTGGTAAGATCTTAATTGGGGTTTAAGGTCCAGGCCCACTCCTGGCAATTCTTGTCCCGGATGGATGGATCTGACATTTGAGTGCCCAGATCCAGGATTTAATGCCCTATGGGCCTTGCCTAGGATGAAATCCAACCCTCTGAGCTCTCTCCTTGCCCTCCATCCCCAAAAATCTTCCTGTTTCTTATGAAGAAGCCAGTCATTTCCCAGAGTAAGAATTCCTTACCTTTTTTGTCCCCTCAAAGGAGTGATTCTTTCACTGGTGAGACAGAGTGAACTAAAGGAAAACTAAGCAATACCAGATTAAGGTTTAAAAAGTACCAGAGCATGATTCTCTTGCTAAAGCAGCTGTTACTTTTCTACTGAGGAAGTTTTCAAGATCTGTGGAACTGAATTTTCTTCTCTAAAACCTCTCTTGAACAGCAACTTAGTCTCCACTTAATTAAAAAAATAAATCCTGCTCAAATGAAAATATCATAACAGTAATCCTGATTATCCAAATGTGAATCAACATAGTAAAAAATTATGTTAGTCTCCATTATTAGATGTTACAATAGAGATATTTTCATTATAATAATATTCATCTCTCCCCCCGCCTCCATCTCTTACATGATGACGGGGGAAACAGGACTAGGTAATGCTAGGAGATTCGGCCATGGTACTTTACTAATCTAAACTCCAGATAAAGAATTTGCTTACTAGTATTTACTGATAAATTATGATTATTAGAAGCTACATAAAGTGAGTTGATCACTCAGAAACTAATACACCAAGATAAACTACTAGTTTGAAATATTTAAGACACTTTGAACCTTAAAAATGGCAGCATATAAGCAAAATGAGTCACAAAGAGAGGGACAGACATAGAAAGATTGCATTCATCTGGGGAATGTAAAGTAACAAAATAGGAGACTAACACCTAAGAATAGCCGAGATAAGTACCAGGAGGTTCACTCCATGGCTTGGAGGCTAGCCACACATGCTGGGGGAAAAGGCAGCTCAGATAGAGAAGGGAGCACCAAATAAAGGGTGTTGGGAGAATCCTCCCAGGATGGGAGATGCATGCTGAAAGTAGACTATAGACTGAACATGATTGCCACGCAATGCCTCTTTTGCAAACCACAGCACCCAAAAGGAGAGAGAGAGAACAAAAGGGAATGCCCTGCCACAGAGGCAGGGTGGGATGGGGGGACGGGGCTGGGGGGTGGGAGGGACGCTGGGATCATTGATGGTGGAGAATGGGCACTGGTGGTGGGATGGGTACTCGATCATTGTATAATTGAAACCCAAGCACAAAAATTTGTAAGTCTACAACTATACCTCATGGCGTTTCACTAATAAAATTTTTTTTAAAAATGGCAGCATAGAAAGTGGTTTTCCTGTGCTCATTGTGCTTTTCACCTTTCAGAGGATGCCACCAGGCTTTGGACGTCCCCCAAGTAGCAATGAAGAGGGTGGGGTAAGTACAAGTAAATGCTAAATTTCCCATTAAAACTTCCAGTCCATTAGTTCCTGCTTTTTTCCTCTCTTATTTCTAATAAATTAAAACCTAAACACCCATGAGTTAAGAAAAGATGAAATAAATCAAACCAGCAATTTAAAATAAAACGTGTTACTTCATCTCTTGTCCACGTGAAATAAAATCTCTTTTCTTTCCTCTCCTCCCAATTCAGAAGATTAACCTCACAAACTTTGTTCCAAGTTAGTTCTAGATTCTAGAGAGGGAGAGAGCAACTGTTCTCCCCAGAAAGAAATTAAGTAATTATTTACTTAGCTCCCATATTGTACAACCAAGTTAGAGCTTAGAGAAGATAAATTACTCTTCTGATTTACCCTCTGAATTAATGGATAAACCAGAACAAAAATTTTCTGAGAACTCTATGTCTTTTTAATTTACTACATCACACAGGTAGGCACAAATATAGGTCACAGAATGTTAAAAGTGTATTTTAGGGGTTGCCAAGATAGCTCCAAGGTCCGGAGTGCTTGCTCTGCAGGGAGAAGCCCTAGATTTTATCTCGTGGCACTGCATGATCCCCTAAACGTCACAGACATACAACCCCTAGTACATATGCCAGGAGTAGCCCCCCACCCCCTCCAAGCGCTGTCAGGTATAGTTTCTGCCCTGCCACCCAATCAAACAACAACAACAACAACAAGTTATTTTAATGACTTGTAACCCTAGAGTTTACTTCATCTTATTCCCTAAATATGCAATAGGTCCAGATTAAATACAGGATCCTGATATTTCTGAGGAATCAGGGCTAAGAAAGGAGTTAACATAGTGTCAATGAAAAATCACTCTGGAAAGGGCTGAAAAAATAGTACAAGCATGAAAGTGCTTGTCTTGCATGCAGTTGGATCCTTTTCACTGTCACCATGTATGGTCCCCCCATCATCAACAGGAGTCATTCCTGAGCACTGTCAGGCATAGCCCCAAAACTAAAACAACAACAAAAAAAAGGAAGAAGAGAAGACTATTTTACAAAAGTTAAAGAACTTTTGTAAAATCCCAAAATAAGTTGCCCCCCCAAAAAAAGAGACAAAATAAGTTGCCCCAAATTTTTTAAATGGTTCAAATAATTTTATTCATTCTCAAAACTGGCATCTTAGGAGCTGGAGCGATAGCACAGTGGGTAGGGCGTTTGCCTTGCATACGGCCGACCAGGGTTCTAATCCAAACATCCCATATGGTCCCCTGAGCACAACCAGGAGTAATTCCTGATTGCAGAGCCAGGAGTAACCCCTGAGCATCGCCGGATGTAACCCAAAAAGAAAAAAAAATCCACAAATATATCATGAGAAAATGAGAGAATAACCCAGGCAGATTGCAGAGACATATAAGATGTCTATGTTCTCAGCCAAGGAAGTGGTTCAGCAAAAGAGCACTTGCCTTACATGTGTGAGGTCTTGGATTTGATTCCCAGGACCACATTAAAAAAAAAGTAGTAGTAGTCTGTATGCCACTTCCTGGGGATTCTGCCCAGTGTCCTAAATTATCTGGAAGATACCTCCTCTCGTATATATCTTACAACCTCCATCCACAGATAGAGATAAAAAATATTAAATCAGATAACTTGATTTAATATTAATACATAATATTAATATTTATACTTATGTTAATTTAATTCATATATTTAATATTCAGATAACTTTAATATCTGTCTAATATACTGAACAAATTCACTGTGATTAAATCATTTGTTGAGCAAAACAGTTCTTAAGCACATCCACAGTGCTAAGGATTATGTAAACAAGGTCAGAAAAAATGTTTTCACTCAAAACCTTCATGTGGGCAATTCAAGTAGGAGAATTCCAGGAAAATAGGCCAGTGAAGTTCAGCAGATTAATTGTTATGGCAGATATCTCTACTGCTGTCAACACATAACCAGTGAATGTCAAATTCTGCCCAGGGTCAGTCAGGCCAGAGAAAAAAAAGTATGCAGGCTAAGTCCTGAGGGGTGAGTCGTTTGACAAGAAGTGTAGGTACAAAGAAAATTCAGTATGAAGTAACGGTGCTGAAAGCGCTGACCACAGAGACTAGTCAAAATAAGGAGGAGTTGTTCAAAATAATTTTAATTTTTATTCAGTTATGGTAAAAACAAAAAAAAAACACTTAATATACAATTCACCCTCTAAACAAACAAACAAAATTTTTTGAAGCAATTCTGTTATTTACAATCCTTTCACAAGAGGGCTTCATGCATGTAATACCCCAAGACCACGCTCCACAGCAGTGTGTGCTCTCCTCCACGGTGGTCTCGGATCCCCTCCTAAACACTTTTTCCCACCTTGATAAGCTCAGTTCTTTAAAACCAGTTCTCAGGTTCTGTTGTCTTTAACAATTTATTATTCTCATACTATGTTTCTTAAGCAAGAAGAAGAGTGGTGTTGACTATAAGTACAAGGCTGTACATACGGCAGATCTCTAGAGCTTCTTCACCTCACTTAACCAATATTTTGTTCCTCTAGATTATTAATTCCCTATTTTCTCCTCTTTCCAACTCCCAGAAATCACTGTTTTGCTCTTTGATACCATGAATTAGTCTCTCTTAGATACTTCATATAAATGGATGAGTGTGATATTTGTCTTTCTGTGTTTGATTTATTTCAGTTACCACAATGTACTCAGGATTTAATCAAGCTTTGCTTACTGCAAAGTTGACCTCTGTTTTCTAGACTAAATTCCGTTCCATTATAAGTGTATGTGCTACTTCTGTATCCCTTTATCTGTTGATAGACTAGGTTGTTTCTAGAACTTATTCATTGTATATAATGCAGCAAATGGTATTTGTAGTAGTTGTGATTTGCAATTGCATAAAATACATAAAATGGGGCCAGAGAGATAGACTAGAGGCAGTTTGCCTTGCATGCTGCCAATCCACTTCAATTCTGAGCATGTTCAGAAGTAACCCCTGATCACAGAGGAAGAAGTAAGCCCTGAGCACAGCCAGGTGTGGCCCAAAAAGGAAAGAATAAAATGAAGATGAATGTAATAGACAAAAGATAATTATAGAAAATATTTCTTTTATTCCAGAAAGCAAAGAATAAAATGAGGATGAATATGATAGACAAAAGATAAATTGTAGAAAATATTTCATCTTAAATTTGAAATACATGAACTGAGTTTAGTCCAAGGTCATACTAGCAATATTGGATAGAACAGGGACTTTGACTCTTGTCTACCTAGAGCCCCTTCCTTCACAGCATGATGTACTGCTTTATATTTTATATTGTGGGGGTTAGAGTTTATCCTATAATGCAAGAGTAACTTGAAATAACATTTAAAGAAGAAAGTGACCAAACTTTTTCACATGTCCCACACCCATTTTCTATTACTGTGATGGCAATGGAGAAGCATAATTCAAAGAATGTGACCTGCAAGAAATTATCCACAATAACCTGTAAGAAAGCAATTTCTAAAGCTCAGTGTATTGGGGATAAAGGAAGAAGTAACTAGGATAGTGAATTTAGATTTGGTAGTTCTCAGTCATTAGTCATCTTAAGGAAATAAAGAAGATGGCAGAAATTCAAAAGACCAGGTAAATGGTAGTATATGTTGCTTAGATAAAGAATATTGGAAAAGAAAGTTGGGGGGAAGGTTAGACCCATCCAGTTAGAGGTACTCATGAGATCGTCAGTGATGTAGTATTGTCTCAACCTAAGAATACATTGACCAGCCCAAGAGTAATGGCTTTGGAAACTATTGAACTGTAATTGTACTGAAAGAATTGGCCTGCAATAGTTTGCTCAAGATGGTTCTTTAAAACATAAACAAAAAAATGAGGAGGATTTAAAATAAAACTTTAAGAAATGAAAAATTTTAAAGCTTAGATTTAGTACCCAGGTCTAGAAAAATGAAATTTTTTCTGTTCTAAATTTTTAACGGTCACAAAGTAATAGTACCAAAATAAACAACTAAAAGGAAGAAGAACATGAAAACTAAGGAGAAATTAAATTTCAAGAAAACATAGCCAAGGAGAGTAAAGGAAGCATGAGTATTCACAATTCCCTACAACATGTTTAAAAAGCAAAACCATGGTGGGAGCCCGTAATTATTGATTTCATTCTTTCCAACAGAATCCTTACTTTGGATTTTTTGGATTTCATGGATTTGGGGGTCGTCCTTATTATTCAGAAGAGATGTTTGAAGATTATGAAAAACCCAAAGAAAAAGATCCTCCTAAAGCAGAGAGTCCAGCCGCAGAACCCACCTCTAATTCAACTGTTCCTGAGTCTAATTCTACCCAACCAAATGCAGCCAGTCCCAGAAATGACACCATCACAACTGGAAACCCTGCAAACAACCCTCAAAATGGGATCATCCCATCCCCTACAGTTAATATTTCAGGCCAGGGAGTATCAAGAAATCAAATCCCATTGGGACCACGTCACAATTTTTATGAAAATTATCCAAATCCTAATGTCAGAAATTTTCCAGCAGAAAGACAATGGCGTCCCACTGGTACTGTCACATGGCAAAGACAGAATGTGCCTTTTTACCGAAATCAACTATATCAAAGAGGTCCACGGTGGAATTCCTTTACTCTTGAAAACAAACAGGGTATTCGTCCTGGAATTCCATTTTATCGCAAAGCTTATGCTTCCACTGCAAGAGGCAATTCTCCCAATCAAGCAGGAAATCCAGCAAATTTCAAAAGAAAGCCTCAAAATCCAAATAAACAACCTCTGGGAGCCAATGGTGCCCAAAATGTTCCTCTGGGTCCTAAAAATGATATTGCTGGTCACAATGAAAAAACTCAGAATCCAAAAGAGAAACCAGTGGGTCAAAAAGAAAGAATAGTAACCCCTACCAGGGATCCAAATGGTCCCTGGAGAAATTCTCAAGATCTTGGAGCTAATAAATCAAACTATAAACCCCCTAATCCTCACCCTACGGGCAACAGATTAATCCCAAATTTTAATTCTGTTGGTCAGCGTGAAAATTCTTATTACCCAAGAGGAGATACCAGAAGAGCTCCAAATTCTGATGGACAAACCCAAAGCCAGAATTTGCCCAAAGGGATTGCTTTAGAGCCAAAAAGGATCCCATATGAACCAGAAACTAATGGCCCAGAAATAAAGGCCAATACATATCAGCCTCCATATCCTGCAGAAATCCCTTCTTCAGCAAGAGAACATTTTCCTGCTGGAAGAAACAGCTGGAATCATCAAGAAATCTCTCCATCTTTTAAGGGAGAGCTTGGGAGGCAGGAAGAACGCTTACCCCTTCCCTCTCATGGCGCCAGAGGAACTATTTACTATCCTGACTATAACCCCTATGACCCCAGGGAAAACTCACCATACCAGAGAAACAATATATGGAATGAGGGTTATAGTCCTCCCAATACTATGGGACAACCTGAAAGTCCACTGTTCCCCATGAATACCCCAGATCCCAAAGAGACAGCTCCTTACAATGAAGAGGACCCAACTGATGGGGATGAAACCTTCACAGGACAAAGTCGATGGGGCATGGAAGACACAAGGTTTAAAGGAGGCCCATCCGTTAAGCAATACGAAGGTGAGCAGTATACCTCAAATCAACCAAAAGAGTACCTTCCTTATTCCTTTGATAATCCTTTAAAACCCAGAGAAGATTTTCCTTATGAATTTTATCCCTGGAACCCAGAGGAGAATTTTCCATCATATACTACAGTTCCTTCTGCCCTACCACCTGTGGAAAAGAGAGGCTATTATACTAATAATGCTATTGGACAAGAAGAAAACAGTCTGTTTCCTTCTTGGAGCTCCTGGGACCACAAAACTCAAGGCCAAGGAGAGAAAGAAAGAGGTTCATATTTTAATGGAAATTTCTGGGATCAATCAACAAACTTACACAAATCCCCAACTAGCCCACCACACCAGAAAGAGAACCAGCCCTATTCCGGTAACTCCCCAGCTGGACTTCAGAAAAATCCACTATGGCAAGAAGGCGAGAATGTGAATTATGGCATGCAGATTACTAGGTTAAATTCACCAGAGGGTGATCATCCATCTTTCCCAAGCTTAATTTCTCAAAGTCACCCCACAGGTCAAAATGAACCACACGCATTTCACCCAAACCATAGAGGTTCTTGCTGTGTGGGTGGTTCCATGGGACAAAAGGACAATCCACTTGCTCTTCAAGACTATACTCCATCTTTTGATGTTGTACCAGGGGAGAACCAAGATATTAGCCTTCTGTACTCAGAAGATAGCCATACTAAACATCCAAGACATACCATTTCTCCCACTGGCATCATACCGAGCCAAAGAAATAGTTCCGAAAATGGACTTCTTGGAGAAAGTGAACACCTGAGTCACTTTGGAGATGATGTGTCCACTATGAGGAGGGATACACCGTGTTCCCTAAAAAATCAGCTAGGCCCTGAAGGAGGTGTGCCCTCTCCTGAAGTCAGTTCCCTTCAATCAAAGAACACACCCTGTTTCAAAAATGATGTTGGAGGAGATGAGAATAATGTTTTGGAACAAGTATTTGAAGACAAAGAGTTCAGTGAAAAAAATGTTGACCTGACTCCTGAACAGCTTGTTATCAATACAGTTGATGAAGGTCCCAAACCAGAAGGCATCCTGAGTGAAGTGCCAGGAAATGAGGACGAAAGACAAAAACAAAGACCATCTAGTATCCTACCGCTACCATGCTTTGGCTCCATATTACCAAAGTATCACTCCTCCAGCACTGGACGTCCATCTAGCATTGGAAACCAAGGCCCGTTTGATGAGAATCCAAATATGCCTGCTGAAATTCCTAATTCACTGGATGGGCTAGCTATTGGGACACAGTTTCAGAATATAAATGTAGATCCACTTAACACAGGTGAACATATTCCATTTGATGCCCTTCAAACCGGCACCAACCTACAGGATCAGGTACAAGACTGCTTACTACTTCAGGCTTAGGGATAATTTCAACGAAGAACCTTTAGGAAAGGAAAATAGCTGATAATCTTCTGGGGGTCCCAGACACCCCTCCACTCCCCTGACCCAGACGCAAGACTTTTACTACCTTCTTCCTGATCCTTGTGACTTTTCCCTTTCCAGCAATAAGAGTAGCGGCCCTGGTGACAATGATGAGGCTGGGCCTCAGAGGTCCTAATATGCATATACCTTTATAAAGGCAGGATGGCTAAGACCAACACCACCTTGAACATAGAAATCACTCACCTAGACTAATTTCCCTCTGCTTGCAGTTCTTCCTTTTTTTCTCAAAGATTCATACTTGCAGAAATCAACTGGTCTTACAAGACAAAAAAGCAAATAAATAGCATTTCATGAACGGAGATATGTACATCAGTATAATCCTGATGCATTGTACATTTTTTTCTTGTGTTAATTTTTGTTAGTTTTTATTCCTATTGATATTCTTTTTGTTTGTCTTTTTTTTTCTTCCACTGCCTCTTTCTTGACCTTATTGTTTCTTTTCTTTTGGAGAGGAGAGTTGAATCACCCTTTTGATGTTCTAGTGCTGCTCCCAGCTTGGTTTTCATGGATTACTCCCTGGAAGTGCCCAGAGAACCGTGCGGTGCTGGAGATGAAACCTAGCCCCCTGCATGCCTTTGAGCTATTTCTCCAGCTCGTATTATTTCCTTTCTTGCCTTTCTTCTCCCTTCAATTTCTCAGTCATCATTTTTTTACATTGTCTTTTTTCTTTCCCATCTTTCTCTGTCTTCTTTCTCATTGACTTCATTAGATAAATGGCATGGTATCATTTACTATCACTCACTAGTCTTTACCTTCTCCACTATTTTTTTCTTCCCATCTTGATGTTCCTTATATATCATTTATCAGTCAGTCTTTTTTCTGCTCAGAGCTCCTTTCTTGCCTACTATTTCTTTTTCCTAGTGCACCATTTGTATATCTTAAGACTGTATATCTTAGGGCAGGAGAGTTGCACAAGGGTTAAGGTTAACACAGGGGTAAGGTGAGCCAAAACCCAGTTTGATGCCTAGCACCAGATGCCCCCCACAGCACTTGGTGAAGGAATGGAGGCTCTGGAGCACCAGGTGTGGCCATGGAGGCCCCTGAGCATTACAGGGTTGTCTTGGTGACCTCTGGGACCCCATACATACACAACCAAAAAAATAACTACATATCTCTCTCTATTGTTAATCTCCTCTCTAAATTCTACACTAACTTTTTTGTTTTGTTTTGTTTTTGGACCACACCTGGAATCCTACTCAGGTAGGTTAGTGCTCAGGGGGTTACTCTTGGCTCTGAGATCAGGAATTACACCTGGCTGTGCTCAGGGAACTGTATGGGATGCCAGGGATCAACCCTGAGTTGGCCATATGCAAGGCAAAGTGCCCTACCAGCTGCACTATCTCTCTAGCCCTAATCCTAAATTCCTTAACCTGGTTAATTACTGAAATACACATTTTTATAAATAGTAACCACAGTACAAACTTTTGTTTTTTTAGAGTCTTTGCCAAATAGACAGCTCAGTTAGAGTAACATAATCAAGAAGTAGAGGGTGCCCAACCTCGTTTTCTAGAGTTCAAAACCTGGGGACAAAGTTTGAGAGGTGGGAAAGAAAAAGCTGTCACTATGGGACTGAGCATCCTGGTAAAGGAAATAGAAGTATTGGGTAGGGATGAGTACAGCTCAGAGTTAGACCTCTTGTCTTGTATGTGTAAGGCCCTGGGTTCGATCCCCACACTGCCTAAAACAGTAACAAAACAGGAAGTACTTACAGCATCTCACGTCTACCTGATAATATACAGGATCTGAAAGTTCCTAAACTTCCCAACAAAATAAGAAAGATAGTCAATGGTTAGTTTTCTATAAGTGATTCTACCAATACATACCAACTCTAAAGACTTATTCTTAATGTCCTAGTAGAATTATTTATAGATGCATCATACCTTCATATCTTGATTAAACTGTGTAAATTATTTTGTAAAGTAGATATTACTATTTTGCTTCGCTTAAATATATCTATGTGTGTGTTTTTTAAGTGGCATTTCATCCTATCTGTATATTGTTTCTCAGAAGAAGAATTCTTGGAATGATCCAGAAAGTTATCTTCTAACTCTAAGGAGTATTTTTAGGAGAAAATTTCCTGGGATAGATAAGAAGACCTCACAAATTAGGAAAATATAGTGTTGGAAATCTCCCAAGAACAGTTATCTTATGCTCTAAGTCTTTTAAAGTTCCTAACACGATCTTTTGTATATAGTAGATAGCCAATAAATATTTATCAACAGACTGTTGTTTAAAAGGCTTTTAAAATGTTTAATGTTTAAAATCCCATCCTGGGATTCACTCACATCTCAACCTGAGATGTGTAATTCTTTTCTTTTACACCTTATGGCAGAACTTACCTTTGGCTTTCCACACTCTGGAGAAGCTGGTGTTCTTCCTTAAATGCTCTCACAACTGCCTCATATTTCTCAAAATAAAATTATTTGACTTAAAAAATAACTTTCAAAGTTCTGCTGAAAAAACTACAATGTGTTTTTCCTACAGAAAATCTGGGAGACTAAAGGAACCAGAGCACTGCCCTCTGTCAAGTATGCATATATTTTTGTATATTTATATATACAAATGTATATATACTTTTATCATAGATGCTCAGGCTAAGGAGGCCTTTTCAAAATAGATCATCTAGGCCAACATTTCTCAATTTGAAAACATATGGCCAGGATTTTCCAAGGGTGTTACAGATGAAAATTATGTAAATAGGGGCCCATGGCTGGAGACCAGAAGAACAATTGGTGAGCCGGTAGGGGGACGGGGTTAGGGGAGGCCCACAGAAAAGAAACGAGTTCAGAAGGCCACAATGGTCAGGAAAAGGTTGAGAAACAGTAATCCAGGCCTGCCACTACCTACAGACATTCCCCACAACCATTCTATATTTTAATCACAGTGAAAAACCATTCACAAATTCTGTATAAAACACTTTGCTACTTTTTAAGGTCCATTGTTGTTGTTGTTGTTGTTGTTGTTGTTGGGGAGGAATGGGCCAGGTTTCTAATGCAGGGCCACATCTGTGACGCATGCACTCCCACAGGGTCACATACAGGCCCTCAGAGTTTTTCATAAGAACTGTCGAACCATGGGGCCAGAGAGACAGTAATGCAGGTAAGCGCCTTGCACCTTGCTGACCTAAATTCAATCCCCAGCACCACATCCGGTCCTTGTAGCTCCCCTTGAGTGATACCTGCACAGAGCCAGGAGGAAGCCCCGAACAATGCCAGGTGTTGCCCAAAAAACAGACAAAAAAAATTATCTGACCCAGAAGGGGACTGATGGCTTAACCTGCTTGGTTGGCAATCCCTAGTTCAAACCCCTATGCTGCCTCCTGCACTAAACTGATCCGAACAATCCTTCCCCTGAAAGGCTTCCTTCTCAGGAAGGGCCTCCATACTGCAGTACACGCAGAGGCACTCTGTAAAGCCTCCCATACCAAACATGCACCAACATGATCCTGGTCCCCCTAGGCTGGAGTCCTCAGCAGGGGGGCAATAAAGGATTATCCTCACCCAAATAAACCTACATTGTTCTGCTTCACTATTTTTCCCAATTGTTCTTTGACTCGACAGTTGAGACTTTCATTGTAGGCATCTCATTCAGTCCAAGATTTCTTCCCAGTGTGTGGCTCTTATCTTAGTTTTGGCAGCTATGTTGATAGGCCTACATCGATGAAGCATCCTGGCTTAAATTATCATCAAAGATCACTGTCAAGTAATCCGTAAAAGGCTCAACGAGACAGAAATATCTATTGCATTTGGGAAGACCATTCTTCTCAAAGTGGAAATGAATATATGAATATGGCCCTGTGAAAAATGAATCTTCATTTCATCCGGACAGTAATTCTTCCACAAACCTAGATATCAGATCAAGAGTCCCTTGCAGGAAAGAAATTATTCTGTATGCTAATTATTGAGAAGTTTTCGGCTCTTCAGGTGAAGGTCCCATGGTGATGACGGAGCTCTGAAAATAGCCATTTCTGTCTCTGGAACCCCCAACCACCCCCATCCCCTAGTGAGTTCCTGTTTAGTGAGCAGTCACCTATAAATTCTCAAATGTCTGGGGAGGAAAACTTTTTTTTTTTTTGCTTTTTTGGGTCACACCAGCGATGCTCAGGGGTTGCTCCTGGCTCTGCACTCAGGAATTACTCCTGGCGGTGCTCGGGGGACCATATGGGATGCCAGAGATTGAACCTGGGTCAGCCGCATGCAAGGCAAACGCCTTACCCACTATGCTATTGCTTTGGCCCGAAGGAAACATTTTAAAAGGCAGTTATGTAAAAATATTTCTCTTGCATTGATTAAGTAGAGGAGAAAATAATGCCTGAGAATGACAAGGACAGGTGATAACCCAGAAAGGCTAAAACTTAACTACTTTGTAAGCTTTCCCATCTCACAAAAATAGATTTCTCTCAGGTAGTTTAGCACTGACTGAGTTGGCTGGAGGTAATTTTGCACTTTTTCACTTTAAGCAAGAAGCAAGCAGAACATGATAAAAACCAGTCCTGGTTGCCTCTGAAAACAGCCTCGTAGCCATTCTCATAGAGATTCTTCCTCTGGCTTTTTGCTCCCCCAAAAGGAAAGTCATTAAGCAGTCATTACCCCCACCCCACCCCCACATGACTCTCCAAAGAGAACACAAGACATTGCTCCGAGTTTCCTTCATTACTTATTTGACATCTCTAGGCCCAGTTTGGTTTTCCCCTCAGGCTCTCCCCTCTCCTTCAGCCATGACCTTGAAGAAGAATCATCTCAGACTCAGGAAACCCGACTTTGTTTCTAAAAACCAAAAGGGGAACCAGAAATGTTGGAATTAAAATCAATGGTTCTGTGTCTCCTCCACAAAACCCCAATGGTTTACCTGTGACTCAAAATCCCAATGGTTTGCCAAATGCCCAATGAAACTCCAGAAGAAAACTGCACTAGAGAGAA